AATGTAGATACATTAATATTACTAATAATGATTATGAAATCTAAAACTTAACCAACATTGCTATTAGTAAATTCGCGTATATTTCTCGACCTTAGTACCTTGTAGTACGGAACTCCAGAACATAGGATTGCTCATTTATGCAATAATTCGACTTACTGCAGGTTAACTGATATTTAAATTTTTACCGTTTCCATAAATATTGAGACAGACACAGGTCTTGGTAATACCGAGTCCAAAATATCTGATTCAAATGTCGAATTTTTCCCATGTTTTCTTTTCCTCTCAAACTAACTAAAAACTACACTTATTGATTTTCCACATTTTCTAATGGAACCAAAAAGTTCACATTCAAATTTCCAAGAACGAAGTTCAGATTTTTACACAATGCTTAGTCAAATAAAACAAAACTAACAATATTGCTGAGTAAACGTGCTATAATTGTTAACCGTCATTCGGCAATTCTTATGGTTAAAACTGGAGAATCAGAATCAAGTTCATTCACAGTCATTGTTATTTAGCAACAATCGTTGAATTAGCTATAACCAATATATATATATATATATATATATATATATATATATATATATATATATATATATATATATATATATATATATATATATATATATATATATATATATATATATATATATATATATATATATATATATATATATATATATATATATATATATATATATATATATATATATATATATATATATATATATATATTCTCACGTATTGATTCACGGATGGAAAAATGTGATGACACTATATTCCGGGATATCATCCGTTCGCTCGTTGAACTCCGACTGGAATCCTGCATCCGACTGGAATCCTGCAAATCTTGCATCCGACTGGAATCCTGCAGACGTTTCGCCAAAATCTCACTTGGCATCTTCAATGCTCGCGCTCCGTATTCAAAGTGTTTTCGGAGCGCGAGCATTGAAGATGCCAAGTGAGATTTTGGCGAAACGTCTGCAGGATTCCAGTCGGATGCAAGATTTGCAGGATTCCAGTCGGATGCAGGATTCCAGTCGGAGTTCAACGAGCGAACGGATGATATCCCGGAATATAGTGTCATCATATATATATATATATATATATATATATATATATGTGTGTGATGACACTATATTCCGGGATATCATCCGTTCGCTCGTTGAACTCCGACTGGAATCCTGCATCCGACTGGAATCCTGCAAATCTTGCATCCGACTGGAATCCTGCAGACGTTTCGCCAAAATCTCACTTGGCATCTTCAATGCTCGCGCTCCGAAAACACTTCGAACACTGGGTTTTCGGAGCGCGAGCATTGAAGATGCCAAGTGAGATTTTGGCGAAACGTCTGCAGGATTCCAGTCGGATGCAAGATTTGCAGGATTCCAGTCGGATGCAGGATTCCAGTCGGAGTTCAACGAGCGAACGGATGATATCCCGGAATATAGTGTCATCACATTTTTCCATCCGTGAATCAATACGTGAGAATATATATATATATATATATATATATATATATATATATATATATATATATATATATATATATATATATATATATATATATATATATATATATATATATATATATATATATATATATATATATTGTTAACTCGGAACAGAACACTTAATACGCTTTACGTTTAATCCGGTTTCCTCTGATTTGTAATAAAAGTTTGTCTTTAGAAGGGGTTTAAGATTTTACCATATTTAAAAAATATATCCTAGTAAAATTTTAAATAAAAAAGGTATTGAATAGAGTTAATATATGGTGACAGAAGTTCTTTAAAAAAAGAAAAACGTAGTAAATATACGTTTTTCATTATCCTGGAACCATAATTATTAATTAAGTCACAAAATTGGGTCATAGGTCTGTTTTGAGGACGAATCAGTATTAACTCCAAATATTTACATCAAGTACAAGTATTTGTATTTGTATTTATGGCGTACATTAAGTTAACAACCAATTATAAAATATCTCTACTTAGTTTCAATTGTTAAATCTGTAACCAGCGCACATACTTTTCAACTTTAAAGTCCTTTAAAATTTCAAAAACAAAAATTTATACCGTTAAGTTTTATATTTTTACTCCGATGGTTAAATATCTCCCTAAAGTATCCTAAGAATCTCTTCGTCACACGGGGTGTGGATGACACACGGTTTTACATCTAAATCTGCTTCCTCCAGGTCGTCCAACCGGAAAATTTATCGCCACACTTTACTGCCACTAAAAGTCGGAACGAATAAAATTTTTTAATTTTATTATATATACGCAGTATCCCCCTTGACCCCCGGCCACGGGTTTACGACCGCAATTTACTTTATATGCAAATCGGACCAGAATATAATAAAAATATCAGAATCGGGGTAACTGACCAAAAGGGAACATATTGAAGTGAAGCCCCGATTATAGACTTTTCTCCAGCAAAACATGGTAACACCGGCTAGTTCGCTGAAAGCTCCGAATTTCTCATCTATGGTATTAATTATTTATTTGATCCTAAGTTACCTACTTCAAATCAAAACTATTACACTGAAGTATTCTAGGTTAACTGGTAATTGCCAAGAATTATACCAAATTATGTAAATAGATTGGGCAACACATTAAAGAATTTTATCGTCTTTGCTTCGTTATAAAAACCTCTTCAAGTCACTTCTGTCAAGTTACCTGAATGATACACTTTTTCTATGACTAAGATCAAGACCATATGAATTGACATTCTCTTTCAGCAAACAGCAACTTTGGTTAATTCAGAAAATGAAGCTCGTAAAAAATCAACCTCTGAATGTGATGATGGTGGTACAAATCGCACAAAAAAAACAAAATATTCTTAAGAAAATTTCCTATAGGACATTATATAGTTATAGTTATAGATAGCCAGAACATTAATATTAAAAAGTTATTGGGCTATTAATTTAACACACTCTATTATTGATTGCAAATTAGTCAGAATCCGTGCGTTTCCAAGTAAGGACGTGACGATAGAAGTAAATAATTGGCGAATTTGTTCTGCCCCTAAGGAAAAATCCAATTGAAAATCCACACGTCGTATATAAGGCTAATTTCGTCCGCCATCATGACCGTTAAGGAAAATAATACAGCGGGTAGTCAGCCGTGGAAATTATCCGTAATTAGATATTGTCATGGTGGACGCCCACCGGTGACTTCATATATTTAAGAATTTCACGAAAGGTCGATTGTTATTAATAGCAGTGATTATTAAAATTTAATGTGTAGAAGCACAAAATAAATGCCAAACGTGCGGCTTTTAAATTCAAGAGAAAGCCCGGCCAGACATTCTCGTCAATTTTCGGGAAAAATTTAGCTCAATCGGCAACACCGCGTTGCTCTTGGGCTGGACGCGATGTGAGTGTAATATTATACACTTGCTTTTTTTCGAAGGTACAGCTGTGATGGAATGAATAGGTACATAATATTGTCACAGATGATATTTTTTTCCTTTTGGGATATCACAATATCTCATCGACACAGATAAAAAAAACAATCCAAAAAATCTCGTAAAAGCTCTTATAACGGTAACAGAATTCCAAAAACTAAAATCCCTCGACAAAAATCAAAAGATTTTTTACGTGTTTTTCGCTTTATGAAAGGGGGCGAACCAATTTAATTAATTCGTGTGAGGAGCAAACGGCATCCAGAAGGATAGAAGACAAATTATCCAGCACTGGACCCGTCAAAAGTGAGATAAGCAGATGATACCATTATAAGTACTTACAACCAAGATGGACTTCAAAATCTTATTAACGCGATTACATCTTTAAATATGAGATACAGGTTTGTGAGAGTTTATGTTTACTCAGTTCTTCGGTGCTTTGAAATGTGGGTAATTCGAAGAATGTTCAGAATATCTCTGACGGAGCACATTGCCAATGGAATGGCCATACGAAGAGTAGGCCGAGAAATTCTTGGAATTATCAACAGACGGAAAATAAGTTACCTGGCACTTATTTACAGAGGCAGAAGGTACTAAGACGCATAATGCAAGGGAGCATTGAAGGTGAAAGAGGATCGAGCAGGAGGCAACACTCATGGCCGAGAAATGTGAAAGATTGAACTGGGCTAACTTCATAACCACTACTAAGAATATGACGGGACAGATAACGATTTTCTGACGTTGTAACCAACCTTCGATAGGAATGCAGCACCTTAAGAAGTTGGGTGAAGCAAGTAAAAATAAGTCTTTCTATTTAATAACTTTTAGTTTGCATATTGGCTGCAAAATATAACCCTAGAAAAGTCAATACATTAAACATTTAGTTGATGCAAGCCGTAATGGATATCATAGGTATCGTAAAGTCTGAGTTCCAAAAATTAAAAAAATCCCAGTAAACAGTTATATGTAGAAATCATAACATCGTTTCCTTCGGTGACTGTCAATTTGTTATTATTGATTGTATTTATTAGGAAAACTCAATTGTTGCTAGATAAGTATAACTTTCCTTTAAACTGTATAAAAAGGAGAAAACGGAATAATTAAAAAAGGATTGCTTCTAAAAAAAATCTGTGTCTCAATAAGGGAGACCAGGGCTATAATACTTATTATTTGGAAACAGGTAAGGGTGTCAAAACGTAATAATAATGGCAACTACGAAGGAATTTTGTAATTTTGTAAAGTAATTTTGGCGGTTTTATTTGATAAATTACGAATTATTAGATATTAATTAATTAATAATACCGACAAAGTGAAAGTGATTAGCAAAATTCAACGTTTTGTTGAGCTCTAATTTCTGTAGCGCTATACAAATGCCTGGGGCCCTCCGTTCGCCATTAGTAAGACACATTGTATATAGTTTAATGTTTTTTTTCAATTGTGACGTCGCGTTGAAACTTGAATGACGTCAACTGTAACCCTAAAATGATCGTAGCTTTGAACACGATAAAACGAAGAAAAGAAATCGATTTCACTGAATTAGTAATCACACAGTCTAGAATCGCACCCGCATTTTTTGTAGCGTTTTACGTCAAATATGACGTTTATCCGTCGCCTTGTGACTCGCGTGTATTTTCTTAACCGCGGAGTGTTTAAATGCCGGCAGACTGACGCGTAAAATTTTCGAAACCAAAAACTGAGAGTGGACAGCATGGAGTCGATATCAGCGAAAAACGTTAACAGTAAGTCGAATTTTCAAGCATTTCGCAAGTATCCTGTAACTATTTTCCAAAATTGGGTCTCAGAATATGAAACCTTCGATTGAAAACTTTTGATAAACAAAATCTACGGGAAGAAAATCGCGGTCTTCGTACTTTCCATAAAAGCTTTGTCGCAGATATCTTCTTCTAAGTTCTAGACGCCTTACATTTACATTTTTCGCTAGATTCAATAATTAATGTGCAAATTCATTGACGTGCGAGTTAAATGCTTGAGGTTAAGAATTGTAGGATTCTGTGATAGTTAACTTAAACAACAGTCCAACAACACGTTTTTAAAATAAATTGAAAGTAATAACTTTGAAATTTTAAATAAATCACTCTGTATTTTATGCATTAAAAAAAAACTCCATCTGCATTAAAAAAAAACTCCATCTCTATTGTTTCTCCTCTTCCAGAAAAAAGCAATTGAGAATCAAAATTTTCTCAATTTTGAGTTAAATCTCTCGAACTGGTTTGAGATAAAAAAAAATGGTTTGCGATTTACTATTTTAGCTTTTTATGGGTAAAAAGCAGTTGGCAAGGGAGATACAGCATCGGCGAAGCTAGTGTAGTATTGTAAACTCATGCAAATATTCATTATTTCTAATAATGGTTTAGTAACAATAGACAAAACAAGTGAATTCTAATGAAGCTAATTTTGAACCTTCAAACATTTGTATACCTTCTTTGTTGGCAAAAATTGGGGGTGCTGCGAAGAAGTTAATAGATTCTTTTGGTCGCAGTGACGGACAGGCCAATTGCTAACCCCTCAAAATCTCGCTACGAAGGAAAAACTAAAATAAACAAAAAACACCTTAAAGAAAACGGCGACTAAAACCTTTTTGAATTGTAGATTGATTCCTTAGTAAATAAATACGGGGTACAGCAATTTAAATGAAGTTTTTTCGAGAAATTTGGAACACTTGAACGCTGTATGCTGAAATTGCGTTGCCAGCTGCTGTCGAGTGAAATCACATTGAAGCCCAATCTTTTCTAAACCTTTTGTTTTTTAAATCACGAAATTGTTGGTTGGATTCCTAAAGGGACCCTTGGGTGTTCTTGTGTTTGTCAAACTTTTTCCTAATTCACTCATTGGGAAAACCTGGGCAGCCGTCTTAGTAAAAACGCTAGCTAATCGAATTAAGTAAAGAAAAAAAGGCATTATCTGTCTTTTTATTAGTGATACGCTATTTCAAACAGAACATTGTAAGGTCAAGGCTAATATCTAGTGTGGCCTACTCGTGGCAATAAGGTTTGTATCAAATTCTTCAATCTTCAATTACCAGATCAGAAAGATTTATATTAGCCTTAGCCTCAACCTGTTATTTTTCAAGTTTTTTTTCTAATTAAACTCGCTACTTGATATTTGTTTGTTGGGTACCATTCGCTTTGAAACAGCTAATCTTCTAGAAATGGAGATAATATCTTGATTAAAAAAACAAAACGTATATACTCAAATTCAAATTTTCATTGTTACTGAAGGATCAATCGGAAATATTTTAAAAAATCAAAATGAAACTTGCGGTTCACGAGAAAGCCAACTTTGAAGTTTTAGTGGCGGTTTTTTTTTTTGAGATTCGTGGCAATACATTTCAAAATATACAATTCTTATAACACTTAAGCGACCTGTCCCTTGAATCGTTTATAAGCTGCCGACACAATGTTATTGAAAAAGTGACCGCCATGTATATCACTCCATTTTATTTAAGCGAATTAATAATGATTTACGTCGTTCCACACTGTTTCGAACTGTCGCGCACTCGTCATTCCAACAGAACCCAATACTAGAGTTTATTAAATGTTTGAACAAAAATGTTGCCACATAAAGGGTAATTATTGGAGGGTTTACCTCCATTTTGTATTTCTTCTTTCTTGTATTCCAAGATTTGTATATATTTAATTGATTATTACGTTCTAAACTCAATTTTTCTATTTTGATTTCATGTGCTAATTAAACGGAATTTTCGCAGTTTCCATGTTCATTTTATTCCTTAAAACAAAATTATCTTTTAGTGTCTGCCAGACATCACATTAAAACTGGGTTGTTCAATACATTTGTTCATGATCTTTTTGCTAAGAATTATGCAAAAACTGTGTTTAGATAATAGTGTGACATGTACCAAATTTTAAAATGATTGCCACAAAATACACCAGAGATATTAATAAATAGGTATTTTAAAAAGTATACTTCATATACAATTTTTTTTGTGGTATTTAGATTAAAATGACGTTTTTCGGCTTATATCATCCAGTATACCGATTGAAGGAAGAATATTTGTAGGGCTTATGTCCCTGAAACTTCTTAGTTTCTGATAATTATGAAAATTTAGGAACCGGCTCCAAGGAATCATAACATGATTCAATACCTACATGGACACATATTAAAATGAAACTCTGGTTCTTTAATTTTCTTTTATTATTATTGTTTTTTTCTCAATGTAATTTGTAAAATGTTTGCGATGATGCCTTCTTTTAATCTTTGTTTTGTTACTTAAACAGACAAATCAGGAATTCGTGAAATTTATGTTAGATAAATAATCAATTTCTTCGATCATAAAATCTGAGGAAACAAAAAATAGCAAATATTTGAAAGATTTTAATTTTCCACCAGCAGAAAAAAACTGCAGTTCACAATCGTTCGCCCCACCTACGCGCATTTCTTTTTCAGAGCTCATCGGTACCCACGAGCCGCCCAAACCCATCACCAACGCTTCCAACAAGCGCCCCAACGACGTAAAACTGCAAGGTAACCACCACACGTCTTACTAACCAAAATTTATTTCGACCCCTATTATTATTCCCCTGCGCCCGACCCTTGCGCGCGTCCCATGATGGCGCGGAGTTTCTCGCACATGCTCTCGAACGAGTAACTCTTCCGAAACGCGTCCCTAGCGATGTCGCCCATAAACACCTGCAGGTGCGGACTGACCATCAACTTCTTCAACACCTCGGCCACGGCGTACGCTTCCGACTCTGTCGTCACACCTGATATCTTGTTGACCAAGATCTTCGACGCTATACCTTTATTGGTCGCGACTATAGGTTTGCCCAGACACATCGCCTTGAGGACAAAGTCCGACTGGACGTCGTTCTTGGCCGGATGAATAACTATGGCCGCTTCCGCTATGAGCGTCTTCTCGTGCACCGTTGGTAACCTCTTAAGCAACGTTATCTGTGACGCGCATATTTTTTCCTTCGCCAACTCCCTCAACTCCCGGTACCACGCATTCTCCTGCGCACTCTTGCAATCCCCTGCGATCACCAGCTGAAACCTCTGCGTCACCGGTTTGTCGTGTATCAGCTCAAGCAGGACCTCGAACGCGTCCATGGCTAACTTAAAATTGGACGATCTGCGGTACTTGCCGACGGAGAGGAAGATGACAGTGTTATCCAGCAGGTCAGGTATTATTCTGCGCACATCCATTTCTGGTTCGGTACGTAGGCCTAGATCCACCGAAGGGTACAGAACCAGGGGTCTCCTCGTAACCGACGGATACGACTTTTTGAAAATTTCCACGAACCCGGACGTTTCAACGATCACTTCGTCCGCCATCTTCACCCATTTCGCTTCGAGCAAGTTCGGATAATAGCGGGAGTGCTCGTAACAGGCATCGTTGTTTCTCAACTCCTCGAAGCCGGCGACGTAAAATAACCGGTGCTTGGTGAACACCCGGAGGATACACAACGCCACCATACTTGTGTCGAGAAGTACCACGTCCGGTTTGGGTTCGGGCGGACTGAATATCACCCGGAACGCCATCAGGGCCGCTTTAAGCGCTGCCATACTGCTCTTGAATAGGCCGAGCAGGCTTCGCGGTACCCACCACGCGGAGAACCGCACCTCGATCTTATCCGAGAATCCGTCCAAGTAACTCGAGGTTTCCGATTTGCTGAACCGGTCCGTAACGACGGTCACTCGATACCCTATTTCGTGGTACGCGAGCGCTAGGTTTAGAATGTACCGATCTCCTCTGTTTTTCGCGAGGCCCACGTGTAGAACGACCACGTGTCCCTTGGGGGCGACGGCGGGCGCCGTAGGCTCCCGCGTCGCGACTTCCATTCGAAATGCGCGATTACGCAACTGTCATGTCGTATTTTGACGGACGTCGCAACGTCACCTCGGTTTCAGACATCGAGGAACAATTGGAGAAGGCCGAAAACAGGTGCAACACCTTGAAGAACCAGCTCGACTCGATGAAGGAGCGATACGGGGTCAGTAGAAGGTCGAAGGAGTCTAACGTCATAGGAACGGATACCAGCGGGGCAGCCGTAAGGACGATCAACAACATCCTGAACGGGATCGCCAAGTCTGTGAACCGACTATCCGAGATCGCGACCCCCAGGCCCCAGGATCTGGTACCCGCACCAAGTAAGTTATCCGTTACCCACAAGTTGGTTATAAAAAGGGAGGTCTCCGATTGGCACAGCCATCGACGTCCGTGTATCGAATCGTGAAGCAAGCAGGCAGCCAGAACCGGTGGCGAATCGGAAAGCCAGGAGGAGGAAATGTAGGGGACAGAAGACGACGTCGTCGCGTCATCTGATCACGAAACAGTCGGAGAAGAGGACCCAGAGCCTGGAACAAAGGTCGTCGGCATTCTTGAGAAAACGCTACTTCAACAAGGCCCGGGGCGGCAATCTCATAGAGATCTACCACAACGAGGCGGTGAAACACAGCGACTCGGATGAGAGTCATGCGAAGAAGTCGCGGCAAAGAGACGAAGTGCCGCCCCTCGATGTGGCCGTCGACCAAGAGCGATGCCGCTACGAGACCCCAGAAGCACCCCGTACGGTAGTCAGTTGTTATTCGAGAAACTACGAACTGCCGACGGTTGCCTCGAGGATGAAACAAGTGGCGAAAAGTTACCTGAGCACGCTCAACTTCAAGACAATACCGTTCTGCGCAGCAATTTCCACCACCCAAAGTCACAATATCGGGATCAACATTCAGCAGGTAATGAACATCATCAAGAACCGGCAACCGATCAACGGGATATCGCCTACGCTGGCCCACAACATCGGCCTCGCTGCAGAGAAAATGAATAGCAAGCCGTTCTCGGCGTTGGTGTCGACTATCAACTCGAAACTGGGGTTAGTCGATCAAATAACGCAGAAGCTTTCACAAAACATTGTAGATTCCCACTTCGAGAAGATTTCGTCATGAACGATCTTCAAAAGACTCAGTAGATCATTTTGCTTGCTTGCTACCATCTGCTTCACCTCGACACTTATCTCTCCTGTTGATAATTTGTTGCAAGTCCTGTAGTGCCCCTGGACGATCTGAAATTCTTCTTGAAAGATTTTTTAAACATCATTATGTGAACCTATCTGATTTCGCAGGACTACCGCTTCACGATGTCCGCTATCCAGAACGTACCTAAACCTGCAGCAGCTGCAGGAGCAAGCGAAACACGTGCCACAGGACATAATAGACGAGGTCGACGAAGAAGAGATCGAATCACCCGAAATGAACATCATAACCGTCACCGGTACATCCGCTTTCAGTGACTATAGATGATTTTACCCCATAGGTTGAGTTTTAGGCCCCTCTGGGGACATGGAAATCAAAAACAAGAAAGTGCCCAATTGGAGCGTCGACAAGAACGCCTCAACGGAGCGGTGCACCTGCGTCGCTCAACCTTGCGTGGACCTACAGCGCCTGGCCGTGAAACATCGAAGACTGAGTCACGCTAATACGGTCAGCGACGCGTTGCAGGTTGCAGAACCGACAACCCTGAAGGGTGCCCACATCAAGACGAGAGAAAAGAACCTGAAAGAAGTGCTGAGCAACCTGCACCGCGATTTTGCCACTCTCAACAAGTGCGAGAACGCGTAACTCGCACGTCTTGAACTGAACTTAATTGTTTCAGTAAATACGAGCAACTTGCGGCGAAGACGTCGCACCACGACACGTCCGGGGAGCTGGAGAAGCTCGAGGGGGAGCTGTCGAAAAAGGAGGAAGAGATCACGATGGTGATGACGCTGTGCAAGGAGGTGATGGCACTCAAACAGCAGATCAAACAGCTGAAGGAAAAGCGGAGTCGGACCAGCGTGGTCGCGAGGTCGAAATTTAAGGAATACAATAACCCGGAGGCGGCGTTTCACCTGACAAAACTCCTCAAACAGATACAACGCTATCAGATGCGGTACAAGACGAATTTTAGCGACGAATAGAGTTCCGACGATGTGTTTGCGAATAATAAAAGAAAGTTTTTCGCCCACCTGTGTAGCGAGTCAGCCACCTACGTGTGGACGTAGAAATCGGAACGCACGCGTTTCCCATTCATAATGGGGATAATTGTTACATCTAGAGGCGGGCAAATTATATGGGGCGACAACACGCCGGTTGTGTCATCAATGGTTCGCAGATAGACGCCGACAATTTATGGCCTGGGACCTCACAGCACCAACCTTTTCAATTACTGTTATTTCGTATTCGAAAATGGAGGCAAATTATGGTCTTCTCTCCCCCCTCCCCCGAACAACGCGTCCACGATATTGTCTTTTGCTATTTGGGGCATTCCGCTCTCTGTCTGCCATCTTTCTAACATTAAAAAATAATTTAATTAGCAAAAAAGTAGTACGAGTATGCTACAAACTTATCACCAAATGGGCGAGTATACTGTACAACCAGATAATATAAAGATTTCTAAAGATAATACAAAAAGAATATCTATACAAATTAAAAACTTGAACCTTTTACGTAGTTTGTTCTAACATTTCAAATTTTGTAACATTAATAAATTATACAGCTAACGAGCACAAGCTATGCCCCTGAATTTGATATCTTTAGAATATTGATTTGCAAATCTCATAATAAATATCAGTGAAATCCATGAAAGAGTATATTAAACATTATGGGATCTCATGGTGCAAAGTGGAGCGAACTGATTAACTGGTGGGACAATAATTTATATTTAACAATAATTAATATGGACACCAATCCAGTTGAATACCCCTTTTGGATAAAATAAACGAAAATTAAACGCCCTTCCATACTTTATCACTTGCGTTAATTCGTTAATTCGTGTTAATTTCGTCGACTATGCTAAAAGGTGCAAAACCCAAATGCTCCGCACGAATATGTAACACGAACCACCTGGTTCAGTCACCCCATAAAAAAAACTACTCCCCAATTTTCGACCGACCCAGCGTTAGGATAATTAAACTGCATTTATCACTCCCTTAAGTAAATTAAGTGTCTTCTGACCAACAACGGGTCAGCGCGGTGGAGGTCTCGTGGCATCGCTTAATGGTTAGGTAAACCCCTAGTTACCGAAGATCGCGCTGTTGCCACGCATGTTTGTGCCTTTGTGTCCTATTTATAAAATACCCATGACAAGAAACATGATTATTTAATTATTATTTAATTATTGTTTGGTTATTAGATTCTGCAATCATACCAGTACAATATATAACTTCATGCAAAATTAAACTAAATTATAGAAAAAACAAATTAGAAAGAGTGAGTGAGCGATCAATACACAAAGGAGAAAAAAAAAGCTCTTTATCCACTATCACTCATTCCTGAGGGATGTTGCCATCAGTTAATAATATTTCCCTGTTTTTTTTAGACGTTTTGCATGATTTTCCAGGTGAAGTTACCAAATTTACGAATGCAATTACAGAAAGTAACTTGGTTACTAGTGTTGTTTTTATTATATGTTTATACACGCTTTTTATAGATCTAAACTCCTTTTTAATTGCATTTCTCGTCAGTTGGACCAACCACGGAACACATAATTTTACCATAATGTTGCATGATGATTTAATTATAAAAAGCGAGGAAAAATAATATTCGCGTGTCATCTAGACGTGGCAACGTCGATTATAATAGGGTTGTTTTATCTTCACCCCAGTTGTCCGAAACGCGTCGGTCGCGTGCGAGCCAGACGTTGGCGCATCAATCAACATTAAGGCTAAAAGCTTTCTTAATGAATTGCGCACATACGGGGAAAAGGTGTTTTATTGGTCAAAAATCGATGCAAAGAGCAAAGCTTTTGCTCTCACTCAATTTTACTTACGACCAGGTTAAATTTTTTTAAAACACTTTGGAATTTGGCAAAGGCCCTCGTCATTCAGCACTCGGTCGGATGAGTCAAGCAATGACGAACTAGAAGATATTGATCTGCCATATTTTAGCCTTGTTCAGACAATTTCGCGTATACGTGATGTAATTCGTACAAAGCGCGAATACTAATGGTTTGGTCAATTTTTAAAACAAAACCAGGAGCATTCAACTTATAAAAAAGTGCATGTTAACAGACGATTACCGTCGACAACATATAGCGCAACTTAAATATATATATTGTCAATCTAGCTCCACACAGCGAAAATCGCTTTAATGCTATTATTTTGGTCTTGCAATCATAGATGGCGCAACAGTGTTGCATTTCTATCTTATCCTCGCCGATGGCGCTGCACAGGATTAGACAGATCAAATAGGATTGAACTGAGGTGGCTTTTACTTGAAAATCCGTTTACGCCGTGTGTTTGTCATAGGATCCAACCAATATAATATAGTTGTCTATGCATATGAGAAAGACACGATGTTGTCGAAACAATTGTTAGTTCAATTTTTGAAAGAAGCTGAAAGTGGTTTCTTGGCTATTTGGTATTTCAAATTGCTTCTCCGTTGCTAAATATGTTCCCAAAACATTTGTTTTTTCCCAAGTTTATTAAATTGAAAAGCAACAGAAGTCCTGCTGCAAGGAAAGCCCCGACCCAAGGCCAGACGAAATGGATGAATGAAGAACCAAAGCACGAGTACAGAAAACGAGATACAAACGACATGTGTAACGATGTAATGATAAAGGTGTGTGTAAATATATATTATTTTGTGAAAATAATAAACTTTTAGTTCTTATTTATTTTACATCAAATAGGGGTTAAAGAAATAAAATGCTGACAAAGATCAAGAAATATGTATACAGTAATTAATAAAATACATCTGGTGACGAAATTTGAGGTAAATATATTATTCGTGTATAAGAAATAAGATTGGGTGAGATCACAATTTGCTCGCTGTAACCATGTAAACTGATGCCTGAAATTTAGGAATACAGAGTATTTTCCAACCATTCGTCAATGGTGAAACTGGCCGAATTAATTCCTGCTCTGTCCTTGCCCCGAAAAATATCTGAAAACAATTTTTTAATCACAGACTTGAGCGACACAAATTACCTAGGTACCCATCATAGTTTTCAATTTAATGGAACAGGTTAGGAAGTCATCGAAACTTATTTCACCATTTCTGTTACCATAACGGTGCATAAGCACATTTAGGATTCTGTTATTCAGTCTGTATCCTGCGGACTTCATGGCGTGCCTGAGTTCGAATCCGCTGAGCGAACCTGAATTGTCCACGTCATATAACAACCAAACATGCTACAAAAATAAAAATTGGAACGTATTTCCAAAACCTTCCCACTGAAATGCTATATTGGTATTACTTTCCAGCTGCGTAGTGCACTCCACAAAGCTTTAAACTCCTCATAGCCGAGCTTTCCAGATCTGTCCACATCCAACATAGCCACCATACTCCTGCAGATGTCTATGGAGAAACCATTTCCTAACAATTCTAAAAACAAATTAAAGGATTGGTTCGGTTTAAAGATATGAATAACAGATAGTTTAGGCTATAAATTTGATTGCAACCAGAAAAAGCTCAACTTTGAGGTTAATTCCGATGTTGGAAAGTTAATGTGCTCTGTGGTCTGCTTTTTTACTCGAAAATCTTGAGAACATACTTTTTCGCTGCAAAATAATTAAATGATATTTAAAAGCCAAACCCTCTTCCCGGTATCATGCACCCTTCATATAGCACAGTGGTCTGTGATTTAGTCATGCAAATGTGCGCCATGCGTAACGTACCAGCGTACGTCGCCAAAAGGGGTGCCTTTTGAGTCGGATCTGGTATAATTTCGGCCAACGGTGCATCCTTACAAAAGGTTCCACAAATCAAAGTCAAAAGCTGCGCGAAAAAGTGACTTCGATTCGTAGTTTCTACGTCGCAAACGCGGGTCTGAGGGGCGTTCACTTCGTTGACTTTCTTTGCGTAACTGCTATTGCCGTTAACGTGTTGCCGTACGACTATTACCCAAGAAACAATGATAAAACGCGCGTCAGTTCGTCAAAAATGTATTATTAAATATCAGAACAACGTCGCTCCGATAACCGACGATTAATTAAACCGTGAACGATTCGATTTGCCCATCGCTACTTAAATTGAGAGGGGGGGGGGCGTTTACCTGGACAACTCCTACGATTAAATTATTTGTTACCTTGGCAACGGCTTCATGTGTCAACATTGGAAGCGGGTTATGGTGTTTTCGTTAACTTTTTCAAATTGTTTCGCATCATGCGGTTTGGACGAAGTAAAAAGATGTGCATCCTCTGACTGCTGCTAAACTCCTAAATCGCGGATCGCAAAATGCGGACGTTACCCAAATGGGTTGACAAAATTCAAGACAGCGACAAAATCGGGCAAAGGTTTGTGCTAACAAAATAAAAATAAGTTTTTGGCCATAGAAGACCTGAATCAATTACACTACATTCAAGGAGCAGTAACTTTTTTTTGTAAAACAAAGAATTTTGCCAAAAAATAATTTTTGTTGAGTTAATCGTTAGAAAAAGACGTGGCATTACCTATATAATGGAGAAATGAAAAGTCCCTGGAAGATTGTCGGCGTCGGTTGTTTTGGTTAGTCGCTAGAGCAAAAAATTAGCTGGAAATGATAGCTACAACGCTTAAGTTGTACACTATCCTTTTCCATAATTTTTAAAACAGTAAATTTAATTGAATTTATATTTTAGCGTGTGACCGACTTTTCTGTGGTAGGCTGCGATAACATTGTCTTAACCGTGGTCTTTACACAAAATTTAATCGGATCTGACCAAAATTTGACAAAATACTGCCCAAAAATGACTCATTCAAATTCAAAACTGCCGAATTGACCAACTGTCGGTGGCCATGTTGGTTGTTAACGCCGTAAAGGCTTGTTGGTTGAAAACGAGATTTGAAATGATTGCGCATACGTATATTGAATGTCTCTTCTTAAAAATTTTTGATGTTGACTTCAATTAGAGTGTTTGTGTAACACAAGTAAAGCCTGTATATATCTACTAATTCAATGAAAAAAATATGTAGTTTGCTGAAAAGTACGATTTTTGATACTAAAAACAGAGCAACTAGGGTATTGTGCCTAGAGAACTCATATAATCGGCTCATTAACATTTTTACTAGCATCTACGACCTATGCTTCAACCGTGACGGTACCCAGCTGATAGTCGCCGGTGGCAACCACGTCCTGGTGTACGACACCTCCGACGGGTCGCTCGTCCAACTCCTCAAAGGTCACAAGGACAAGGTGCACGCGGTTTCGTACGCGAGAAACGGTGAAAAATTCGCAAGCGGGAGCGCCGATAAAACTGTCATCATCTGGTCTAACAAACTTGAGGGACTTCTAAAGTACAGCCATGCTGATTCCGTGCAGTGTGTCAGCTTCAACCCGGTATCGCACCAGCTGGCTTCATGTTCCCTGAGCGATTTCGCATTCTGGAGCAGCGACCAGAAAGCCGTCCAGAAGCACAAGACCAACGCTAGGATAAACGCTTGCTCGTGGACAAACGACGGTCAATATTTGGCACTGGGGTTGGCCAACGGCGCCGTCTCAATCAGGAACAAACTGGGCGAGGAGAAGACGAAAATCGAAAGACCAAACGCAGCGTCCGTATGGGCTGTGGCGTGGAGCACTTTTAAAGACGAAACATCGGACACTCTCTGCGTCACCGATTGGTCCAAGACGATGTCGTTTTACACGTTGGGCGGTAAACAAGTCGGTAAAGAACGACAGCTGGGCTTCGAGGCGTTGAAAGTAAAGTACGTCCGTGACGGAGAGTATATCCTGATCGCCGGCCTGAACAAGTGCTGCAAGCTATACACGAGGGAGGGTATCAAGCTGGGGACGATCGGTGACCAGCAGAACTCATGGATTTGGTCGTGCGAAGCGGATCCGACCGGGAACTTTGTGGTGAGGTTTTGGTTAGATTTGGTTAGTTCACGGCATTTTACTAAGTCAGTCACTCATCCTCGCTTCGTAAAATGCGGGAGATTCTGGCGGTTGGTTTTCATCCTATGTTACGGTAGATTAATGTAAATTTGTGAGACTTTTATAGAGGTGTTGATACATGAATAATTGAATGACCCTTTTCGAATTCTACCTCTCCGTTCAATCTCAACTCTCGGTCATTTTGAATTCGTCGATTTTCCACGAACTTTTTTCCTTCCAGGCGATTGGGTGCGAAGACGGCACGATCGCGTTCTATCAACTCGTGTTCAATATGGTGCACGGACTGCACCGCGAACGCTACGCGTACCGCGAAAACATGACCGACATCATCATCCAGCACCTGATCACCGAGCAGAAGGTGCGCATCAAATGCCGCGACCTGATAAAAAAAATCGCCATATACACGGACCGGCTGGCAGTAAGTCCTGCGACCAGCGGCACCTCTGCCGCTCCGATCGACCGCCCTTGTTCCGCAGGTTCAATTGCCCGAGCGTATCATCATCTACGAACTTTTCTCCAAAGACACCAATGACATGCACTACAGGGCGCGCGAAAAAATCAACCGCAAGCTCGACTGCAGTCTGCTGGTCGTCTGCAGCGGTCACCTCATTGTCTGCCAAGAGAGGACGTTGCAAAGCGTCCTCTTCACCGGCGAGAAAGAGAAAGAGTGGACATTCGACAGCCCGATCCGTTACATCAAGAATGTCGGAGGGCCGGCCGGCAAAGAAGGCCTTATGCTCGGCCTCAAAAACGGCCAGGTGTGGGAGGTGCATCTCGATAACGTCCATCCGCTGCTCAAGGTCGCGATCAACGACGGCGTCCGCTGCCTCGACCTCAACCGCGACAGGGGGCGGATCGCCGTGGTCGACGAGTCGGGTCTCTGTCAGGTGTTTGACTCGAAAACCGGGCAGCTCTGTTTCCAGGAGGCGAACGCGAACAGCGTCGCCTTCAACGACCTCCACGACGATATGCTCGCGTACAGTGGCAACGGGCAACTGGCCATCAAGGTGACAGATTTCCCGGCGCAGGCGCAGAAAATGCCCGGCTTCGTGGTCGGTCTCTCGGGCTCTAGGGTGTTTTGCCTCAATGGCACCACGATGAACGCTACCGACTTGCCTCTAAGCGCTCCCATGTACCAATTCGTCGAGAGGCGCATGTACGACGAAGCGTACAAAATCGCGTGCCTCGGCGTAACCGACGGCGATTGGGAGGAGCTCGCGCACTCCGCGCTCGAGCACTTCGACCTCGAAATCGCCCGTCTCGCCTTCGTCAAACTCCAAGACTTTAACTACCTGGAGCTGATCGAGGAACTGAAGGAACGGCGTCAGAAGGGTGAGCTGGCACGCGACGTCGCCTTAGGGGACGTATACGCTGCCAAAGGCAAGCTCAAGGAGGCGTCGCGACTCTATCAAAAGTCGGGACACGGCGCGAAAGCGCTCACCATGTACACCGATCTGCGCATGTTCGACGAAGCTCGCGAGTTCCTCGGCTCCGGCGACGACGACGATTTGGTGCGTCGCAAGGCCGACTGGGCGCGCAACATCAACGAGCATCGCGCGGCCGCCGATATGTATTTGTCAGTCGGCGACGTCGCCGCCGCCGTCGACATCTACGCGGAGAAGGGTTGGGCGGATCAGCTGGTCGAACTGGGTCGTCGTCTCGATAAGTCGGAACGACAGCATTTGGAGGCGATCGCGCGCCATCTGCGCAGACTCGAACGGCCTCGATCCGCGGCCGAGATCTACCGCAGACTGGGCGATTCCGAGGCGGTTCTCCGACTCCACGTGGAGGCGAAGGAATGGGCGCAGGCGTTCGAGGTGGTGCGCGACCAGCCGAAGTACAACGCGGTAGTGTACGTGCCGTACGCCCGCTGGTTGGCCGAGAACGATCGATTCGTGGCCGCACAGAGGGCGTACCACAAGGCGGGCGAGTGGGCGGAGGCTTTGAACGTGTTCAGGCAGCTGACGGCGAACGCGGTGTCCGAGTGCCGGTTCTCGGACGCCGGTTTCTACCATTGGGTCACGTGTAGGCAGTGGTTGGACCTGGCTCGCGGCGACGTGGAGAAACGGAAGAGGTATCTCGAGCGGTACGAAGAGAGCGAAAGATTGGCTAGGGTTTACTACGCATACGACGTCGTCCATAAGTATTTAGAGGTGAGGACACGTCAGAAAAGGTGCCCCTGCGCCCGCTGATTATGCACACTGCCCAATACGTCATATTTATAATTGGTTTTTCGAAACATTTCCCAAAATGTCTGGAACATTACCACCCATTTGAAAATACCACTTGCTTAATATATGCTTAATAAAACAAATTACAAAATTCAATCTAAATTTCCAGCGTTAAGAACATTCCCACTTCAAACGACGCGATTTGAATAGCAGGATAACAATTTGCAAAACTTAATCCGTATTTCCAAGGTTCAAAAAACATCATGCCTAATATATCTATATCTATATAATGAAAACAAAATACTAAACACCCGTCAATTTCAATAGTATCCATTAACAGAAAAAAAATTAAACTTGTGATCAACACAGTCGGGTATTGAAATGATTGTGTAGTTGTCGCAGTGAGCAAAAAAACCGTCAAGCAAGGATCATTTATGTTTCCGGCCCCAAAGTTTTTCAACCACTTTCCCAAAAAACTTAAAGACTCTGTATATGATAAAAATTTCAAACTAGAGCTAAAAAAAATTGGATAATTGCATACAGATTAGAAATTCGTAGGGTGTTTGCTGGCGTTATTTGAAAAACCGTTTTAGTCTAAAAAAAAAAACCATTGTGACTTTATCTCGATTGTGAGTAATATAAACTCAACTGTGACCGTACTTTAGGTAGTAAAAATGGCCTCCTGTCGTTATATTAAGTATGAACAAGCAATATTGCTTCAGTGCTGAAGTTTGTTCATTAACATATGTATGTATGTATATTATTATTCGGTCCATTTGGAAATACCACGTGGTCTTGTTCAAACATTTAGGACAGTTCCACGCCTAAAACATTTGAAAATACAGTCTGCATAATACAACGAACTGCCTTCACCTAAAAATAACTATTTGAAGATGTTCATGAAATGTTCGAAAAGAATACTATTGACAAATTTCCAGTTTAAAATTACATTTAAAACAGCCCTGCACGTAAAAGGATCTATTTAAAAGCATTCTGTTAAATATTACGATTTGCGAAACTCGGCTTGGTCAAAAGACATTTAAAAACTCAACTTTCATACCGCAAAACGTTATAGAACAGCCTCGCGCAACATCATTTCAATCCATCACACCATTGGATGAAATATCTCGAAAACTCTCGACACTCATAACTTATTTTTTTTATTGTTCCTTTCGTTTTTACTTAGGAGCCGTTCACATCGTACATGCCCGAGGCGCTGTTCAACGTCGCGCGCTATTTGGCGGCCGAAACGCGCGACGCCCCTCCCGCCGTGGGCGTGTCTCCTTTCGCCGTTCACTTCGCGCTCGCAAAACAAGCCCGCAAGCTTGGCGCCAACAAGCTCGCCAAGCAAACGTACGACAAGCTGAGAGCGTACCGGGTACCGGCCAAGTTTCGCGAGCAGGTCGACGTCGCGTCGATAGCGTCGCGTGCTCGTCCCCACCACGACCCAGAGGACCTGCTGCCTATGTGTTACCGTTGCTCCGCCTACAACCCGCCCCTGAGTCCGAGAAACGCGTGCGTCAACTGCGGCCATGCCTTCGTCTACTCGTTTGTAGGTTTCGAGGCGTTGCCGCTCGTCGAGTTCGAGCCGGCAGAGGGCGTATCCGACACGGAGGCGATCCGACTGATTGACACGCCCCCCGAATCGAAACGAGGCGGTCGCCGCGTCGCCGACGCCGACGACGACCGGAGTCAAATGCTCGAGTTGACGCAAGACGCCGACGACGACGACCCGTTCTTGTTCCGGTACGACGCGACTGACAAACCCCGCCCCCTGGTCGCGCTAACCCGAAAACAGCTAGCGTCGCTAGACGGAGCGGACGTGCTGGTGTGCGAGCGGCCGGAACCTCTACGATTTCGATTCTTTAAGAACGTAATGGCGGAAATCCACGTGAAGATGTGTCGGTCATGCTTTAGCGCATTCCACGCGGACGACCTGGAGTTGCGCGCGCTGCAGAACCACGGACGATGTCCGTTTTGCAGAGGGGACCCGGTTAACGCGCGCCGTCACGGCGACGACGACGACGACACCTTGACGAACGAACCGGAATCGATTTAAGTCCGCGGCGTTTTGGCGTTTTTGTGGAAATAGTAACTGGATAAAAAGTACATGTGATTGGCGTTGATAATAAAATGGTTAGTCGACGTTGCTTCGAGAATAACTTTTAATTAAGTAATCACATCCCTCGTAACCTCTTAAAGTGGTATTTTCCAAGAATATTGAGCAGTTTAAGCGATGAAAAAAATTTGAACATCCGGAGTGACGGACTTTGCTCAATTTAAATAGCTGTCTAAAATTAATTAGTTTTGCAGAGTACGACGTTATTTAGAGGCGAAATCTGCGCACGCGCAATTATATTGTTATTTGATTATACGGACGTCTCTTCGCGTAATTTTCAATTCTCAAGTATCGAAAGTTTCGTACCTTCGCCCATTGAGTAGTCCAAGACGTCTTTCAGCTCCCTCCAGTCGACTTCTTTGTCCTCGCCGGCCAATTTGAGGAAGAAATCATACACCTTGTCCGTCTCTTCTCTTTCCTCCGCGCTTGGTTCGATTTTTGCCACCTGGTGGAACAGCATCGCGAATCAAGAGTGTTTAAGGTTTGTTGTCGGAGTGTCAACTTGGAACGCATTCAAAATATTCAAAATATTGCAAAGCGGGAAAAAAATTCAACTCTAAAATGATATTGAAAAATATTTATAACTCTTATCTTTTGTTTAACAGAGACAGTTATCACAAAACAATTTTTTTTTTCAATTTTTTGTGAACTTTTCAAACCCAAAAAACATTACGCAAAATAGACTTACTTTCTCGTCCAACTCACCGTAACCGATCTGTTCGTCATTTTCCCTACAAAAACGAAAACAAACTTCAAAAATGAGAAGAAAAAAAATACAGGAGAGACAATGCCTACAGGTAAGAGTTACGATACACGAACAGGTTAAAATAACGCTGCCAACGTTCAAGAATCGAAACTTTATTCCTCTTAAAATAAATACTCAATATACATAAAAAAACAAACAGTTTGGGTTAGGAAGGTACAAGCTAGAATATGAAATATGCTGGGCCGAAAAATGTGCACACATCACTGTCATGCTGGTTAACAAAAAAAAAACTTAACAAAACACGTAAATGCGGAGGTCTTTAATTAAATTAAGCAATTAACTTAAATAATTTAATCAAATGGATTAAAGGAAGGCGAAATCTCACAGCATTTCATAGTAACTGACAAAGGAAAAAAAATCGGAGATTCTAAGCAGATCGTTATTCATGGCGGGTATTGCAGAGAGCATCCAAATTAGACAACGTGTCTACTAATAACGGCACTCCAGTTGCCTAAAAGTATCAAGCTAAGTATTTATACAGATGCAGAAAATAAAGTAGTAGACGCTCTTTACAGGAGCAGTAATTCAAATGTCAATATCGCCTTTATCCTGACGCACATAAACTGGGAAATATATCTTTCAGTTTCACAAATACATTTATAAAACCACCACCGATGATTCGCTTTTATAAATATTCGATAACGTTAAAAAGAACCTTTTTACAAAAAGGAAACATAAAATTACCCAAGCAGGCAACGTCATAATCGACTTTTTAAGTTAACCACCTTAAAACTTTTTGTTGCATTAAATTTTGGTCGTAATTAAGCAATAATTAATTTTTATAATATTTTGATTTAACCTTCAAATCTAACCTTTAAATCTAACATTAACAATCAAATATTTTTGCTCACTTTAGATTGTATTGAGCATTAATTACATATTTCAGAGGTGCGTCAAATGCTTAAATTTGCAAAAACTGTTGAGCTCTTATTTAGGACGATGGTGCAACGTCATTACGACGTTGCCCGTTTTCTGCTCGGGTATGCTCTCGCAGAAGAGGTACGTTTGTACTTTACAAATGGACGAGCAACAATAACGCAAGAATATTCGAGAAGAGATAAGGCACTCGCCTGCTGCAGCTCATACATCGGCGATAAGCTACAAGCGATCGACGCGGAAATAATGCCGGAACCTCTTATAAACGCCAACATTTAAATATTAAACAACCCCCTTCTTATCAACTATTCAATTAGTTACTTAAATAATTTACTGAAAAAGTTTATTATCGGGTCTTTGGGCCTCGATGGCTGCTGAGGTTGCGGCTGGTACCCAGGGTACCCCGGATATTGAGGTTGTTGCGGGTAACCCGCCTGAGGGTACGGACTCTGAGGATAAGGAGGATACCCACCCGGCTGAGGGTAACCGGGTTGAGGGTAGTACCCCGGCTGCGGATAACCGGGTTGCGGGTATGACGAGTACCCGGAACTCGGCGCACCGGGGTACCCCGAGTACTGACCGGTGGGCGTGTCCGGTGGCGGAGGCGGGCGATACCGTGGCGCTTCTTCATCGTCGCCCCCGCTATCCTCCGCCTCCCTGCCCCGGCGCGTGGTGACGCGATCGGAATATGAACCACCATCGTACTCCATAATGTTCTGGTGCTCGCTGAACACGCGCAGCAGGAATTCGCCTTCCTCGTCAGGGTCGAAAGTAGACGGCACGATGCAGTAGGTGCCCGGGGGTAGCTTGAAACGACACGACACCTCGCGGAGGTTGATGAACGACGGCGACCTCGCCACTGATGCGTTGTACTTGAAGAAGCTGACGTCCAATGGTTTGGGCACGCTGTCCGGACGAGGCAGCTGCGAAGAAGAGCAGGGAAATCAGCCACCAAACTTAAACTACATTATGTAAATAAAATGTTTTCTAATAAGCTTTAATTTGGTCTTTCTAGATACACATTTCGGTACCTCTATGACTTTAAAGTGAAAGTGTCAGGCAACATGTACATATTTTAGAGCTTTATTATAGATAATTATATTAATAAACCAATGAAATTAATTTAATGTAACCCATTTTTTCTTTCCCATTAATTACATAATGATCTGATTTTTTTGAAATAGATAATTAAATATTCATTTTCTATAAAAATATTTTTTTATATTTTTAACGACGATATATACACTTAAAGAAAAAGTAACTCAATTCGTGAACTACTAATTAATGAACCGGTTCCTCTAAATAGACTACAATACCGCCATATTTTTTTAATTTTGAAGAACATAACTTCTAATAATTAAACTTAATCTATTTGCATTTAAAATAATAGGGTATCTAATCCTAGTTTTAAAATAGATATCTTAAATTCATTAATTTAAAATAAATTTCACTAACAATTTAAAATTTCACCAAAAATTAATCAAATAATTATAGCCTAAGAATTTTATAATGGACTATTTGTCTAACCGCTACTGCTGGCACATTAAAAGATGTCACTATCGAACTTGTATATGTTTTGATCTAGAGTCACATTGCCAAATTAACTTTCAAATAATGCATATCGCAATTGCATATTTGAATCTATAAAATGATAGTTCTACTAGTTAATAGTAATTTTTTACCAGCACCTCTAAATTATAAATAATAAAAAACAAAAAAAGAAACATTTCTATAAAGTAAACTAAAACATACTTGAGAGAAATGTTTAGTAATTGGTTATCATTAATTAAAAACAACTTATCGGTGTTGCTAAATTGCTAAAAAAAAAGGATATTTAAATTATCCAAACAAAGTGCTCATTAAAAATTAAGAAGGAAGAACTTAAATGCAACACAATAAGCTAATTAATACAATTATCCTTAGACAAAGTGCATAAATCATTTTAAAAAAATTAATACAAAATACAATTTAAAGGGTATAATGAACAAATTGTCAACGTGGTCAGAGTTTAAAAGACTTAATATTCTTAATTCTTATTCTTAATATATTCTACCAAATAATTTGCGAAATTTTATAAACTCTGTCGAAAATAATAAAATACCAGATCAGGAATTAATTAATTGCTATGAGAACAATCAATTAGAAAATGTTGATCATTGGCTACAGAGGATGAAATATTTCAAATAATAAAAAATATTAAATCTAAGGCAATAGGTGACGATAAATTAAATATTACTCTAATACAGTTTTGTTGTCCTTTTATTATCCCTTTTATTGAACTCTTATTTTCCAAAATCTAAGTAAGAACCCCACAGAATTTAAACAACGGAGGTCAATTAGCATCTCTCTCTAAAGTTTTAGAAAAAATAATTGATACGCAAATAGGAAAATTCTTAGCTTTTTTGATATATTATCTGCAAAACAATCTGGGTTTAGAAAATTGCTTATTGCAATTTTACACTACATTGGGTTTAGTGAAGGTGCACGCGTGTTTTTAAATTAATTTTTATCCGATGCGACAATGTGTATAACCACTCTCCGTTGAGTTAGGTGTACCACAATTTATACGTTTACCTTGGTAAAGGCTTTAAAACATTGTAATTATCAATTATATACTTTTTGTTTCAAGATCATGAAATGACGCAGTTGGAGACTAAAATTAACACTGATTTAAATAACTTTTATAAAATTACATTCAATCATCTACTGCAGCTAAATCCAACCAAGGCGTCGGTGTTTGTTTTTGGAAGCGACTCCCAGGTACATAATGTCAAAATAAAAAAAATTATATTGACAATACCACATCGAAAATAAATGTTTAAAAGATCATTTTCTTATAGCATTGCACATACAATAAATAATTTAAGCCTTTTCAGTATCACAATATCAACCAAAACTTTTAAAAACTGCTATAGAAAATATCTTCTTGGAACCCAATAATTTCTGTTTTGGAAAACCAATCTGCGGTTCACCTTACTCCTTTGTCCTAAACTCTGCATAACATATTTAATTTTGTTTATTTGATACTTTCTTTTTGTTCTTCGAGAAATTTAGTTAGTTTTGGTTAGTAATTTGGTTTACATTAAATTAAGGCTGAACAGTGTCTGGCTTTGCTGGATGCCTGCGTTTTATTAGGCCTTTTGTTTACCTTGACATTGGTACCATGTAATATTTTGTATTGGAATAATATGTTTATTTGTCACAGCAATAAATGTATTTATTATATATATTCTTATTATAACATAACCAACGAAATAGAAATCAGAAAGGAAACTGGTCCTTTTTGAAAAAAAACTGCAAAATACAATTAAAAGAGTATAATAAAAAAAAAACAAATGAAATAGAAATAAAACAGGAAACAGAATCTACTAAGCTAGAGAAGCGAAAGATAAAATTAAGTTTTATTTATAGACAATTATTTTGTATTCTTTTAGTATGTCAGTAGAATATTTATTTTAAAGATGCTTAGATGCAATTACTAAGTTTTGGTTTGGCATAATCAGGTAGAGTTTGATCTAGTTTAGACTATACTTGTCACATTTCTAAGTTAACTTTTCAATAAACAGAGCACAGATTTTTTATCTTTCTTAACTAACCAGCTATTTGCTTAATGGTGATTTGTTATTATTAACTAATATTTATAAATATTATGGCAACAGTTATCAACAGTGTAAACGCTTTCTATAGTGATATGTGATTTATTTAATCATTCATTAAATAAATATAAAGCGAAACTGACACTGCAACTACCAGCATCCCTTCTCCGTCCCTCTCATGTTATAAAAAAAGAGCTGGCATACTTACGTAGTATATTGCGAAGCCGATGGTTAACAGGTCCGCCCCCGTGTTGCGTATTTGTCTTCGGTTCTTCTGCATCAGGGCGACAATGAGGGTGCAATTGCCGTCCTCGTCGCCTTCGTCCACTTCGGTGAGCGTCACCCTGTACTGGGGGTTGTGCCAGAACGACTCTGTAACGAACATGTGACGCGATTAAAAACGAATCACGACAGGGCGTGGTTTTGGGGGCAGAGTTACCTAAAAAGTTGCGACAACCGCCGGCGGTGGCGCCACGCACCCACTCGCCTTCGAATACCGACATCTCCCACTTTTTCTTGTTGCCCTCCCGTAGTTCCTCGTCGGATAACGAGTCAGGGTTCAAGTTGCATATTTCTAATCGGCTAAAATACGCCTGGAAGTCCTTGAACGCCATCCAGAACTCGCCGTCGTTATCGAACGTCAAACCGAGCTCCTCCTTCTCAGACTCCGAGATGAACCGCCACTCGGGAGCGCTGATAATAAAAATAAAAATATTAATAATAATAATAATAATAAATAACAAAACAGCAACGCATTATTAAAAGTGGCGTCAGGTCTTTCTTAGACGTGAAACGCATCAAATTAGAAAAAAAGAACAGAGTGTAGAAAAACAATGCCATATTTTTGACGCGTGCGTGTATGTGTTTGTGTGTGTATGTGAGGGTGTATATTTAATTCTTTTCTTGGATAAACAATTAAAATTTGCCAAGTAAATCTAAATAAATAGAAAATTACCCGTCGCTCCAAGCTCCATTCCATTCCGACTCGTTGCCCCATGGATTCCGTAACCTTAACAATGGAATTTTGCCGGTGACGTTGGGTGTTTGGATGTCGACGTATTGCACCCGTGTTATGCTGTACGCGTGTCCCCTTACGAGACCTTGAGGAGTCTGTGCCTCCACTATATTGGGATCCGGCTGGAGAGGATGGTAACAGACTTACGATAGGGGGAAGCTGTTCAAAACAAAGCTACTCACCTCGATTGAGCAACCCATCAGCGATGCTCTCTCGTACGCCTTGATCATGATCTGAAACAAATTGGGAGGACAGGCGTCCATTTCGTACATTTCGGTTACGCCTCCCGTGAAATCTTCCATCGCCTCGCAGGTAGAACCGCCCTTCAGCGCTTCGTATGAACCGTGCAATCTATGATGACATAGTAACGCAGTTGCCCTTAGAACAGCGGTGTGAAAAAAACACACTTACTTTGCGTACGCTTTTTCCAATAACGCGCTCCAGAACTCGTTTTCCTCGGTAGAATGAAGAAATATCAACTGACCTCGGTACGTAGGCAGCCTGTCGTCGATCACCACGTCCACCCATCGTCCGTACTGCCAAAAACTGAAGGAAAAAGAAATGACGCCTTATGAGCAAGAGCTCAGAAGCGGGATTAAGGCAACTAATTACCTTAACGCGGATGCGAAATGCGACTTTGTTTCGCATAATTGCGCATCTTTATTGGGGTATTCTGTGATTACACTCTGACTATGATTAAAATATACATTTTACATATTTCACATTTTTAGATTCAGCGCTTCTATTAATTTTGCCTATACCTATCTAGACCGGTTTTCGCAATTATTTCTATTTGATTTTAAGGAGGCTCTGAGAGGAGATTGGGAGAACTGAGAGAAAAACAAAAGGTCTTGTTCAACTACTTGTGAATGTGACCACCAATATTGAATTCATTTTGTTAGAGTTAATAGTAAATACATGGAACATGTACGATAATAAAATATAATATTGGACCACTAGTCTCCATTGTAATTATATTAAAGCATCATTGAAAAGCATATAGCTTTTTTTTGGTCAGTTGATTTTAATTGGTGGTAATGGTTCTGAAAAATTGGGAACCTGGACTACTTAATTAATCGAATTTATACTGAATAGGCGATAGGCGCTCTGTCGGCTAGGAATGTCCTAGTTAATTATGATCCGATATTTTGGATTATATTAAACGAATTACAATAATAAATCCTGTTTTGAAAGTATATTAACGAAATTTGTGGAGTTGGCAACATCTTACCGGAAATGGAAGATACCGGCGTATTTTTCTTCGAATCCTTGGTCGTCAGGAACGATCTGAAGAAACAGCCTGTGGTAGAGGGTCAAGTTTGCCGCGGCGGCCAATAACCAACAGTCTCCTAGTTCGCCCTGCTGCACGTCGAACCTCGAATAACCTTCGACGAAGAATTGGGGATCGTCACAGATTTCCTGCAACGCGATACATCTGGTTAATTACCAGACTGCTGTCTAGGTACTGTATGCGCTCACGTGGGGGCGTTTCCATTCGTAGTATCTGTCAGGTCTCTGGCTAAAGAAAAGCGATGTGTCGGTGGCAGGAAATTCAGGATCCTCGAACAGGGTACCCTGATCGAGGCACTCGTCTCTCAGCCTGTAGAAGTCCTGAGGTTCGCCGCGGGTTCGGAAACCGGAACCCTTCTCGCCGTACTGAAAAGTTTCTTTTGTTCCAGAGATCTTTCTTTTTTTCGTTTTAATCAACACGCAAAGCTCAAATTCACGACGAAATACAGACACGTATATGCAGAAGCTTTTTTACATATAAAATTCAATAAATACATTTTTAAAACAAATTTCAAACTGAATTAAAGTGAAGATTTACACTATATTAAATTATAGATTACATACAAAACATCTTTTGTCTAATTTAAATCCTTGCATTCTCAAAAAATTCTCGTTTTAAAAATTTGCAATATCTTCCTTAGCACGGAATGCTTCATTTTTTAAATAGAAATAAAGCCGCGCATTTAAAATTTGAATTCAACGATTAGTTAAATAATTTATTTACATATTAGATGCTTCCTTTGATGGTTCAACTTAAATTTAATTTTTGCAAAACTTTAACTTTGGATTTTGTTAAAATTAAAAAATTAAAAATTTAAGTTTTCTTGATAATAAACTTATTGAAATTGATTGATATTAAAACATTTTCAAAAAAAAACTGCTTTAAATAACTGTTACCTACAAAACCTTGTAAAACCTAACTCAAAGTCATTCTATATTTTCATAACTATAAATCACACTTTACAATCCCAAGTTACGTGTTCAAACTGCATCTAAAATCTAATTTCATTATTATTATATCAGAAAACATAAAATAATTTTAAAAACATAACGGACCAGTGTTACTAAAAATCTAGAAGATAATATCTATTGGAGAATAACTAGTCAATTAGTTTTAGAAATATTTCAAATGGGGTTGTGAAATTGAGAGGTTAAATTTTTTTGTATCCATTGACCAGTTAATTGACCGAAATAATTTCAAAAATACAAGTTCATTTTTTAATTCAATTTATTATTTAATTTATATATATTAATAGACATATTTAATTTATATTTATTTATATTGTGCGTTACATTGCCATCGCGTCGTTCTGAGAACCAAATGGAGAGGATTCCTTGAAGAGGGTTATAGGTAAATTGGACATCACAAACACATAATAATTTATTATAAAATACATATTATTATTAAACAATGATAGATGATACAATGTTTATATAAAATATTTTGATTGAATTTTACTAGTTAATTAAGAAGTGGCCAATTGACGGTGCTGACCAGTCTCAACACTAATTTCAAACCATCATATCAGATGTAATTAACAATGTTGGGTTCCACATGTATGCTTAGAAAATAATGGACATTTCCTTGAACATCTTTTGTTAATTGAGACTGGAAATAGTAATATTAATAATATTAATTAACCAACAATTATTAATTTAGTAAATTATACAATTAAATTTCATAAATTTGAGTTATTATTTGTATGTTAATAATTTGTTTCAATGTAATTCAAGATTTTTTTTCAAATTTTTTAAATTAATAAATTTTTAATTTTGAATAAACAATAAATTTAATACTACTCCAGTGTAGGCGGTCAAAGCTACTATAAAAACAATCAAACTTTACTGTTGACATGATCATATTCCACTTAAAAAAATGTTCCATAAAGACAAAAATAGGAAATCCAACTTTTTATATTTTCTAGAATTTCTCAGAAACGATTCACGCTGGAATCATTTCGAGGGCCGATTTACGTTTCTCGTCAAATTCTTTAAAACTATTATAATTTAAACGACTCTGTATCTCGTATGGCTTCCGATACTATTTCACTACGGTTGTTGCAATCAAAATGTGTATACAAAATATATATCATAACAAGGAAGATATGAAAAACTTTTTAAATCGCCAATTCTTCAATTTTCCGTAGTAGCCTAGAAAGTACGACTGCTAGTCAAAATCCACCATATTTCAAGTCGAGTCCGAAAAAGTGCAAACGACACCTTTGCATTTTCAAATAACGAAGTTACAAAAAATTCGGGAACCAAATTTTCGTGGGTGGAACGGATGACTTTTACCTTGAAAATATACTTGCCGCCCGCGTCTAATCCTCGCGTTTCCCCGTTACTTTGCATCCCCAAGCGACTCGTTTTATTTTCCGTTTCGTCGATAAAAGGCAGCGGCGGCGCGTCGCGCGACAGTAGTACCGCCTCCCCCAGGCCTCCCGAGTACCGTTTCACCGCCCCACCATCGTCACCGAAACTAAAGGTCACGCCCTTTTGAGCGAAAACGACGCGGGGGCGGTTTTGGTTGGCGGGGGTGACGGCCGAGCATTTCGAAAATAATCTCGGAAAGCGGTACCTAGAGTGTCGCACCTGCGCCGCCTCTTTTTTCACCATCGTCGATTCCACGAAAGACATTATTTATTTTTCGAAGAGCTAGAGAGAGAGCGTGTGATCGCGTATACCCGCCAGTGTCGGAGATAAAACTGTTGGTAGAGCGGAAACGAGATACGCGGTCTTTATCGATATCTTTTTGTGACGGTTGCGTTTTACACCCGCGGGCTTTTTTAGTCAATAACGAGGTGTGTTAATCAACGGAATTAATATAATTGTTAGGCGGCGGTTCTGGACAGAGGGCTCCAATCCAGCGAGAGGCGACGGTGTACGGCGCATGATCGGAGGTCCCGGATATAAAGATATATAAAGAACTTATTCCACACCTTGTTGATGCGTTATTACTCTCTTCTTACGATTCTTTCTTAGTTCTTTAATTGTGTTCTTTTAATTCTTTAATTATATATATTGTTTGTGGGTGTCATTTACAGACCGGCATGGGTATAAGTTTATTCAATTTCCATTTAATTTAGAATAATAATAATTGATTTGAACAAGTATTATTATTTTCTCCTCACAAACCCCTTTAAAAATTTAGCTGGTTCTACCATATTCCATATAAATTCCATCTAAATGTCATCTATTTGTCACGCCAAGGTCGATCCCCGATGGGTCACCTGTGGGGCCCTGAGGGCCACTTTAGGAACCACTATTCTACAACATAGACTTTTCTTACAAAAACACATAATGCTACTTATAAATCATTATTATATTTATGTATGTATTTATGTGGTTTCAGAAGATTTTATATAAATATTTTTATTGATGATAATGCCTATAAAGTACTAAACAAATTACAACTCTTTGTATTCTATGACTTTTTTATCTACACTTCAATCCACACCGTTTTTATTTTAATAATAATAAAAGATATTTAGTTTTTATTTTTGTGCATTTTTATTTCAAACTTGCTCGACCATATTCTGAATTAAAAAGGTAACGCAATTTCTTGTTTAAAATCAATTTAGTTCTATTTAAAAGAAAATAAATAAAATAACGAAAGGGTGATTTCGAAGGTGCTTTCCTTAAACCAAATTTCTCTCGGTCTATAAACATCGAGTGAAGCGATCTCGACGAAAGCAAGGTCTTTAGAAATGAATCCCCCTGACCATGAAAGGTGTCAACGTTTACCGCCGCCTCTCGTTAGATCAAAGCTCTGTGGTTATGGATGGCAACCGGGACGGGTGGACCTTCACGAATTGCCCCCCCGTCCTCGGGGAATCGCTTTGAGCGGCACATGCAACAAGTATTATAGAGATAGTTGTTTCAAACCTAAACACTCAACCAAAACTTCTTTTTTTGAAGAAAAATGCGCGAAAATTTATTACTGTACATTGCTTAGGAACAGATTATAGTCGCGCGTAACTTTCAAAATTTTGCCGCACAACCCCTGTTGTGTATTAAAAAGGAATCCAAATGCGTTTCATGTTTTAAAGCAACAAATTTAAGCGGATACTAAGATCTAATACTCGCATCTGTCCACTGATACAATTTTTTTAGCAGACAAAACAAACTATAGGCGATATTACAATTCAGTGTGACCTCTGGTGGAAAAAATGTTCAACAAACAAGAAAAATTGGTTTCAGATTAAGCGCATAGCTAACTGCTAAGGCACTAGTAAATGTTTACTACGATTTAGAGCCGGTTTAACTTAAGTTCCACTAAACTGTGGTTGATATGTGAACTTCGATCAAGTATGGATATCGTTGTTGAAGTTAAATAACAGTGCTTCTTTACCAGCGGTTCGAGAAAAAAAGAAGTACACAACATTTATACACAACAAATATAAGAATATATATCAAATTAACAGGGAGATCTGGAAAGATATCTATAGAGTTCAATGTTGCTTCGGGCGTAGCTTACAGAGAAATTGAAACATTATATAATAATATAATAAAACTAAAAAGAACGCTCTATAAATTGGTTCTCACTCCACATCAAAAAGATATTTTTCTACTCCCGTCTGTAAAATACCGATCTAGCGTGCGAGAAGCGTCGCTTTACCATGTCAGTTTCGTTTCCCACGAATCCGAGCCACTTCGGACATTTCCGGGGTTTCTCCGCACGAGTTTTGGGAGCAATCGAATGTTTTCGGAGATATTTCTCATGCTTTGAGTTTTGACGTTTGTCAATTCTGACAGTCATGTCAATGAATGTATTCGTATTTTGCGAAAATGTACCCAACAACTAACCGTCGTAGAAAAAGTATAGTATGCAGTAGTAGTTCGGTACACTTTTTCGTTTATTAAATACTCGCTCCGCTCGTGTCAAATAAACTCGTGAGTCAAATGCCGTTTACCGCACTTGTTGCATAATATACTATTCCTTTTTGCCTTTCCCTATAAGTCTTTAGTAATCTAACATTTATCACAATGTCAAATAACTCTAAAAAAGCCCGGTTGTTAGTTAAATTTTTGGGGAATATTGATTGTTATGACTTTATCTAGTTTATTATAACACAATGAATAAAACGTTAGTGTAGTTTCCAAGCTAAACGCAGTTTAACCGCTACTCGATGACTCAATTTTGATTAAGTTCAAAAAAATTTCTCTGTTTAAATGTTTCCATAAGAAAACCGCATGTTTGCACCACCCATTTCGTGGATAATATCAAAAAGTAAAAAAAAGCAAGGCAAAATTTACATATAGAGGCTTTTACTTGATGAAAATCCATTTATCAAAATAGATAAGAACTAAAAGTTCAGATTTTCACGAAATTATATATTTTGACATGACAATTGTTTCGACAACACCGTGTCTTTATCAAATGTGTGAAATTGACATTTTGATAATAGAGGTTGTTAACAAAGTATGTAGCTTAAATTTAAAACCTTCTACTTTTTTAATAATACGGACCCCTATATTTATCTGGATTTCCTTAATTAAAATTATTGTAGAAAACCTTTACTTAATGTTAAGCTGCGTATTTAATTTACCCATGTATAAATTCATATATGGCGACGACTTTCTCAGGCCTAGCCTTTACACCCCTCACAATTCGCATCCACAAGCCCAACACATCTTACATTGTACAGTTTTCTACTCGCGACCGTCGTTCCCGATTTCTCCCAATCTTTTCCGCCGCCACTGGATCCTTTAATTCTAGCCGCCCTCTTTCGCAGAATCAAAGTGGCCGGTCTGCGGTCGAACCACCTCCGCTCACCCTCAACACCCGGCATCGTTCCGTGCGGTGGCGGCGACCCGGGGTGCCGATTATCGACCGCCGAAACCTCTGTCGGAGCGGCCGATATTTCCGGACGTTCGTTTGCGCCTTCGCAGTGACACGGCCGAGAGTTCTCGCCCCTGCGCATGACCACAACGGTCCTGCCCGATCTCAAGCGCGCGGACGCGTTTTTCGACGAACTTTTAGCACCGATCCTGTTCGATTTTGCCTTACTAGTCGGCATCGGGCACTTATCGAGGTAGCTCAAGACGTCTTTGCGCAGATAGCTTTGGTACTCGACCGATATGAGGTCGACTTTGCGCTTGGCGAAGGCACCGGGACCGCTCAAGACCGGACACGACCTCGTCGTGCCGTCAGACGCGTCTCGCATCTCTCGCACATTCAGAAACCACCGGAAATTTCATCGACGACCGCAGAACTGTCGCTTTGACAAAAGGTGACAAAACGGGTGACGAAACTTCTACCAAATGGCATATTCTATGCGTTTAATATCGGAGAATTCATAAAGGTCTGTTTTTATGTAGCATTTTCCGTAGCCCTCGGTGAGATGTGAACTTAAATGGGACACCCTATATACATTTTAAACAGCATAGTAACTAACAGTACGGTAACCGAGGCATTAACGTGCATTGATAATTACAAACGAGACAAACAAGAGATATTGCCTTCGACACCACTTTGCCATTGAGGAGCCAGAGATGGCAGCACTAACCAAACGTCTTCTTGACTTATCATACCCTGGGCACTCTCTGAAGTTTTTCTTACCGCGTTTAATTCCTTACTTCCCGCCAGAGGCTCTGCAAACAGATGAATTTTGACAAAAGACAGTAGGCGAAAAAAAATTTTCTTTTTTTTCCTTAGACTTATCCTCTAAATTCGACAGGGACGAGGTCCTGAACAAAAAAATGGCGTGTATCTTTTTTCCCGCAGATCTACCCCTAAGTTATTGCAATAATAGTCGCGCCAGTTTCTAAATTTCGAATTCAGAATTTAAAAATTAAAAAATAAACAAGGAATTTATTAGTAAATTAGACAATATTAGTAATAATATTTTGGTAAAAAGTAAATTAAAAAAGGCGTTCTGCGTAGCCGAATGTCGAAAGCGGATCATCAGGGGGCATCATTTCCTAAAAAAATCCTCGATCAAATGTTACGAAGTTTTGGCAGTGATATCCTATTGCCAGAAAGGAGGGGCATTAAACCATTATTGCTAAAGATATTGAATTATTTAAGTTAGATTTGACATCAAAATATTAAGTACATATCTAGTGAACATTTTTCAGGTTTTCAATTTCCAGTCTCCAACCCAACTTTTGCGAAGAAAATAAGGTTTAATAATGTTTACACCTCTTGGTATATACCTTTAAGTGAAATAATAAACTTCTGAAGTAGTTGTTTTATACCATCCCTCTAGTAGCTTTTTTTACCAAATGGGAAACTTACATTTCACATTGTTTGTTGGAAATACATTATTTTGTTTATTAATTGAAACGAAACGAAAGACGGACAAGACAAGCGCAATGTAAAATTGAAACTTTCCGAATATAACATGAGATGCAACATTTTAAATGTTAAACGGCGACTTTTCCAGTTTATTTTAGTGTGTGCTTTGTGGTGCATCGCGTAGAGAGTGTCTAGAAATCATTGAAAAAGTATTAAAATACACGGGGAGTCCCATTCAAGTTATTAATTTGTCTTTATGTCACACCGATCAAATTCTGTGCTGAACCTTTTATTTCTCTAACCTTACGAAACGAAGGGTATTGAACAATGAAACACAGAGGGCGGACGCATGACGCAGTGCGAAGGACCTGCCCCTTGCTCCACCGCGAACGACACCACCCGCGATTTATTGCTCAAACACGTCGACGTCGTGCAAGACATCGAGAATTTCGAGGGCAGGTGACTACTGGTCGCCGCGAAATTGCTATTTCTGTATATGCTGCAGGATTCCGGAAACTTCCACGGCTTCGGCCTCTTCTTCTTGCCGCATTTCCGGCACCTCTCCGGCTCCTCCACGTGGCAGCGGCGCTCCCTCCGCACCGAACAGCACGTCGGGCATCTTACCACTTCTCTAATTCTCAAGTTCGAAGGACATCTCGCGTTAGGACAAAAACTCGGCCTCGGCCGGCAACTGCACGAGACCCTTGCCGTGCAACCGATCGCTTTGACGGTGGTTTTCTTCTCGTCTTCGTTATCACCGGTAGTTTCCCCTACGGCTACGGCATCACCAACACGGTCCGATCTGATATCCTTCTCGTCTTCAACCGCTTCCGCAGCAAAAGTCAACTTGTCGCCTACGGGATGTTTAACTCCATCGTCGTATGTGCGGCTCTGGACTTTGGAAACTATGGGCTGCTCGTCAGTCAATTTATCTACCGTTTCGTGTTTCGTCTTCACCAACTTCGTATGGGTTTCCCTTCCCTTTCTATCCTTCTTTTTATCCGCCACCCCCGCGACTCTACCACCCGATTTGTCCTTTCCAATTTTGCGCTGGTCTTTTCCGCGGCTCCTACGTTCCCCCACCTTAAGTTCTTTTGCAGAGCTTTTGCTTTTCAACGCACTTTTGCGGTCTTTGATGGCAACCCTCTTCTTTTGTACCGCTCCCTTTCCCTTAAGAGCTTTCTCAGAAGACGGTACCCCGAAGCTGACATAGTCGGAGAGTCTTTCGCGTTTCCTACAAACGGACGACGGCTCTCTACTTGGAAGAGGCTGGCAGGGGACGCAAGGCACGCAGGGAGTAAAGTATGCGCAGGGCACGCACACGGGTAGCGCGGGAGTCGACGGTCGCGAGCATGATCGGGTGCAGGGACGACTTAAGCACGCGCTAACCGGTCTGCTGCATAGCGACTGCGCGTAAAGGTACCAACATGGCGCGCGACTCATCTGATTTCATTTTTTTTCAGTTCTATTTCGCACCGAAATTTGACCGGGTCATGATTCGTAACGGACGAGACAGGCGTGACGTGACACACGAGACAGCGCGACTTTTTAATTATTGTCGAAAGAGACTTACCCAGACGACGGGGTCCGAAAAATGCTGCGGCCATGCATCAAAAATAAAGCCAACATGTTTAGACACGTGCTGTCGAAATAACGGGGTTAAGGTAGGGGCTCGTGCCGCGCAGACCTCTAAAACTACTGACGAGTTAAACTCCACGAAACGAGCTTACGAGCTTCGGCAACGCCGCGTTTTGTTAGATATCGGACTTGTTCAGCCGTGCACAACTAGTGATGCGTCAGCAATACTTGCTGAACGATCAGATGCACAAGTGAATTTTAGATTGAAACATGACAATTTTGCTATGTAAGTTGGATATGTGCTGTCTGACAAGATTTAAACACATTTTTAATTCTTTTTTCATATTATTAATAATGTTTATTATTCCAAATTATAGTATGTACCGTGCATTCAATTGATCTTAATAACATTTTAATTTACTGTAACTTTTTTGTATTTAGAGATGTCAAGGTAAACAAAAAAACAGAATGTAGGGTTAAATTATGTGATAGAATATGCTGATGAAATGCTAGCTTCAGTATTCCCAGTATCTGCGACGCGACGCTTGCATAAAAACTTTATATATATAACAACTTTGTACTTTGCGTTCAGTTCTCCTTGTAGCGGGTTAAATAAAACCTCGTAGTTCTATTTGTAAAATAAAAAGTGTTTTTTTAAAAAACGAGATCCTTCGTTAGAAAACCTTAACTGGCGCAGTCGTGACGGATTTGGGGTAGTTTTCGGTCAAAGCCACGTCATCGGGACGATTTGATCGCGAAACGTGGGTTTCAACCCTTAGACTCCAAAACGAACCAGTGATAGACTGTCTGACAAACCCAACGTGATTGAGTTCGACTGAGGGCAAGGAAGGCAAGAAATCACCCCCGCAAGCAGTGCTACGCAAGGAAAATTCCAATAGGAAGAATAGGCTGACGACTAAGAGAAATCAAGGTTAGTGCCCAAAATTCCTATTGTTCTCCTTTCATCTTCCCTGGTTAGGACGGTGGAAATAATTTTAAGGATTCTTAGTTTTAAGTTCAATTTTAAGAAATTTCAAAATCAATTAAATTTATGAACGAAGATAAAGACGTCGACAATTTAAGTGCGTTTTTTACTTCGTTAAATTTAGTGGAAAAGAAAGTAGAGAATAGTCAAATCAATTTGAAAATGAATTCTAATCAATCGTCGAATTCAGGTGTAAATTACACTTTGTTAAAAATGTTTATAGATAGTATTCTGCCATATAATGGTGATTCCAACACTTTAAATAGTTTTCTATCAGCTGGAGATTTCCTTTTTGATACATATGGTCAAGGAAACGACGAAATTTTAAAACAATATTTGTTAAGAACTATAAGAATGAAACTTGTTGATCGCGCACAAATTCTAGTAGGCTGTAGAATGGAGTTAGTAACGTGGGACAATATTAAAGGAGCTTTGTTAAATTGTTTTGGCGATAGACGAAACTTAGAATGTTTAGAACAGGATTTGTTTATGGCCACCCCCTTTAAAAATGAACATCCTTTAGATTTTGGGAAAAGATTACAAGTTTTAAGAAGTATCCTTGCTCAAAAAATTAATGCATTTCCTGCCGATACTATGGATAATGCAAGCAAAGTAATTCATTTACGTCAATACGATCAAATTTGTTTAAGGACGTTTATTAGAGGATTACCAGGACAATTACAAAGTATTATAAGACTTAAAAATCCGACCTGTATAGAATTAGCTATGACCCAAATTATTGAAGAGGAAAATTTTCAATATACACAAAATATCTTCAGAACTCCAATTCAATCAAA